TGGCCCAAACGATAACAGGGTTCCAGTAAGAACAAAATAAGTTCAAGAGGAATAGGTCTGTCAATGGCTATTAGCCGGGATCAGCAGGGATGTTATCCCTATTCTCTGTTTGGCAGATGCTAGGGATGGGAAAGAGGCTATTAACCAGCTCCATGAAGGGAGTAGTTTACATAAGATGCTGGGAGACTTCTCTTCCAGTGCTCATACTGTGGCCGCACTTTAAATGTACCACAGCTAGTGTAGACAAAGCCACTGGCTGCAGACTGAGTTCTCCCTGCCACTGTCAATAACTGTTGATCTTGTGGCATTGCATTTGCACTGCACCTTTGTGCAGATAAGCAACTTGAATGGGTATGTCAGTATCTGGAGTTGTGCACAGAATCTGCGTAGGCCAAATCTTTACTTCCCGGAAGATAGATGCTGCCGTGGTCAATCTTTTGGAGTTTAATTTAGCAGGTCTAGTAAAGACCTGCTAAATCAAAAAAATGAGTCTCTTCTCCCTCCTCCCCCCATATCAGTCTCCTGCTGTGGAGACAGTGCCAAAGTTTGAATTAAGGTACATTGACTCCAGTTAAGCAATTAATGTAGCTGGAGTTGCATATCTTAATTTGAGCTTCCGTGTAAGTATGGACCTGGTCAACACTCATTTTCCTGCTGCCTTCCAAGTAGTTCTGTACCAGGGATTTTTTTGTTTTGTTTATTAATAACAAAAAAAAACCCTTACCAAAACCATGAAAAGAACATTTAGGCAAGATGAAGATCTTGGGTGCCAATGCTCAGATTTGCCAAGTAACTTTTTCCTTGTGCATATATGCATTGCAGTGCAGCTTTTTAAAGAAAGGCCCAGTTGCCTCCTCCTTTCCCCATAGGACAGCTATTTCATTAAAGTCCTTATCAGATGCTTTTCAAAGTCAGTGAAAATATTCCCATTTACTCCTTCAGTTAGTATGGGTTCAGGCCTGGAGTATGCAGGTTGCCTGGTGTAGAAAATGAGTCGGGGGTCCTGTGTGTGGTGGTGATATGTGTATTTTTTTCTCAAGCTTTATATGAAATTCTTAGAGAATAAGCCCCTAGGTTTATGGTTGCCAGATGGTTTCAGCAAAAATACCGAACACCACCTGTCTTCCCCCCCGCCTCAAAAAAAAAAAAACCACACCGGGGAAAAAATTCTGTTGGGGGGAGGGGGGGAGAGAAGAAAAAAGGGGGAGAGGCCAAAGTTGTTGAGCTCCCCCCCAAAAAAGGACCCCCAAGAGTTAAGCAAAATAATAAATACAATAAAACAGCATGGCCTCTTTACGTGCGTAGAGTCAGAATAGGGATAGGAAGAGGAGAGGTTGAGCACCAAGACCCAAGGAAGGCCTTGCTTCCCCTTGCTCTGGTCTTTAGGTTTTTTGCCAGCGGCCATCTTGTTTTCTTGATCAAGCCAGAAGGAAGTTTCCCTGCGGAACCAGGTAAGCAGGGAGGCCGGGGGCTGGGCCCAGTTGCTGAGTATGTCATAGGGTTGCCAGGTGTCTGGTATTTTTGCCTCCTGGCAGGGAAAAAAACCCAGAAAATACCAGACATTTTAGGTGTCTGGTATTTTTATTTTTTTACCGGACAGGAGGCGAAAATACCGGACTGTCCAGGTCAATGCCTAGGATAGATCTGGCTATGTGTTTCTTTGAATTCGCACATAGGCTCTTAGTGGACAAGAGGGAGCATATGCAGTGAATGAGGCACAGGGGTCAATGCGCTGAACACTGATGATACAAATAAATACTGAACAGTTGCCTGCTGTGTCTGTGCATTTTCCAGTCTGTGCACAGAAGGGGAAATGTGGCCCTCTGCAGTGAGCCAGCGCAAGGTCTGTGTACCACTTGCGCCATCTCCATGCAGAAGAGTCAATCTTGCAGTGAACGAGGCAAGGTTCCTACTGAAATGTGCTAGGACTGTATTATAACGTACGTGCACAGAGCGACCAAGTTCAGATTGCATGGGCAACCTTAAGTTTAGCGTGGCTTGTGAGCTTCATGTTGAAAACTTATTGTTTTAACAGTTGGGGGAGGGAGGAATGTGTGTGTCTGTTTTAAACACGTTAGTATGAAATTATGTTGCTACTCTGAATGCGGCATATTCATGGATTTATATTTCATGAAATGTAAATTGAAACCATAGATTTAATCTGAAGACAGTCTGTAAATTAGATTAGATTATTTAATGTTCTGGTTTCTATAACTGTACTATTCATATATTGATAGAAGTTTTTGGCATGTCAATATAGACTTTTTCTCCTCCCTGATTTTTGTGCAAGCATGAAACACTATTCCTCATCAGAAACCACAACCAGCCAAGAAACATCTTATACTCTCTTACTGGTGCAATTTTGGTTTGGCTTTTTCATTTTTAATCAATATCTTTAAAAATACAAATCATTACCAACGAAATAACTTTTTGTTGAGCGTGACAGTTGTGAATTAAGAGTTAAAGCATCAAAAGATAATTTTTTCCTGCCACAAAATATTTTGCATTTCAGGCTGCTCTACATGACCTGCTATGCTGAGATTTAGATCAGCAGGAGTTAGAAAAGCAATTCTGGCATGAATCTGTGAAGGAAAAAACTTGAGTATTTTTAAGACTTTTTCTATAAAGCAGCACAAATGGGCCAAAATAACGTGCACTTTCTCCTTGGCCTTTTATTTTGTTTTTAGTTCCAAAAGGCCTTGTCTAAAGAACAGGAAATCTTGTTAATGTAATCGGGCTCTACATGGTCATCCAATACAGGCAGTCCCCGGGTTACGTACAAGATAGGAACTGTAGGTTTGTACTTAAGTTGAATTTGTACTTAAGTCGGAACTGGCGTCCAGATTCAGCCGCTGCTGAAACTGACCAGCGGCTGACTACAGGAAGCCCGAGGCAGAGTTGCTCTGCCCCGGGCTTCTTGGAATCAGCCGCTGATCAGTTTCAACAGCAGCTGAATCTGGATGCCTGGGACAGAGCAGCTGGGGTGCTGCTGGGTAGGTCCCCGCAGTGCCGCACCTCGAATCAGTGGAAATGGCTAAGATAGTTTATACAGATGGGGCTAGGTATTCCCATCTCTACAGTAGAATCACCGTTTTTAATGCATTCACAAAGTCGTATCAGTGCTCAAGAGTGAAATTGAAACCTGCAACATTTACAGCACAAGGGACCACAAAGGGACCCATGTTGCGTGTGACTGTGAAATGCAGATGGAAGTTTGTAGTGTAAAGAGGCCTAAAGTTCAGGCATCCGAGTCCTTTGTCTGTGCCAATACTGAAGCCGCATAAGACCATGTCTTCACAGGAACATTCAGGAAATAAAGAGGAAATTTAATTAGAGATATCAAAAACTAACATGCATTTATTAAAGAGTATTAACTGTCGTGTGGACGTTCTCATTTCAGAAGTAACGTGGCCTTAGTGCTCTGTAGTTTAATTTTTTCTTGAAAAATGTATCTTTCCCCATCTGAATTACTTAGGTTGCTGAGTGAGGATTCTGACCAAATGCACACAAGTTGAAATTCCAGAGTCTAGGTTCTCTCAGTAATTGCACCTCTGCCCACTTCTGCATAGTCAGTATTTTTTTCTTGCTGTATATGTGGCTTAACTGGCAAGTTTTAAATTAATAAATATATGCAAGGCAACTGAGCTAGATGATGACTATGGGAAAGAATTACTATGAATTTCTTACCTTAAAGATGCGTTTCTCAAACTGTGGATCCCAACCCCCCCAGGAGGTTGCGGGGGTCGCGAGCAACTTAGAGAGGGGGTCGCGGTATCACAAAGTTTGAGAACCCCTGCCTTAAAGGAAAAGAACTAATCGGCCTTTCAGAAAAAGCACTTGTTCTTACATGTGTATGGGATTACCCCCTTTAGATAAACATACTGCAGTCAGTGGTAGAACAAGCGTCTTTATCTGAAGCTCTTCAGCCGTACATTGTAAAATGGGCTGATAAACCAACGATGTTCAAACACATCAAAGGCACTTCTCTTTATCAAAGATTGAGTTCATGGCAAGTGTGTCTGAAGATTTTAAAAATAAGAAAGTTATCAGAATATGCAAGAAGTGTCTTTCTGAATAATTTCCTAAAGTATAAAGAACCTCTTTATTCTAGGCTAGTGCTGAAGAGGCAAGGAACTTTGGAAAATAAGGAACCAAGAACTTTTTATCTCACTCAGAAAATGGACATTTAGAATTTTTTCCTGTTGCTTAAAAAAAAAAAAAAATCGTGGCGAGTGAACATCTTTATATTTGAGAATCAACGTAAACAATTCTAGGCCAAATGACGTTTTAAAAAAGTTTTTTGAAAGTGTCAGATACTTAAAGTGACAGATACTTAGAAGGGAAGCCTGTTCTTTCACCATAACACTGCTGCTGTGATGCAGTAATACACGTGTATCTTCCTTGTTTCTCTGCACTTAGTGCTTTCTCCCCCTCTAGATTTGGGCTGTTACTTGGCATATTGGACACTGGACCCAGGTAGTCAGCTGCAGGCTGCGTTGGTTTGTACCAGATGAGTGTCTGCCCCCCTTTCCTCCAAAATGCATTCGTTAAGAAAAGAAAAGGATCATGGAGAGAATTCTTGAGACTATAGAGATATTGTGATTTTTTTTTTTTTAAGTTGCGTCTTTCTATTTCCCCACCTTTGAAAAGGATTCTGATGACTTTCAGAGGACTGTTTTTAAGAGAAATAGCTACAAATATTGAATAGCCAGCAACAAGTCTACACTTGCACATACTTCCAGTTATGGTTTCTTAAAAGAAATAATTGACCCTAAAAGAAAAAACCCCAAACCAGTCCAACGGGGTGGGGGTGGGGATTTAAAAACTGCTAGTTAACGTTTGAGTAAAGCAACAAGTTCACTTTCCTGTTTATTTCAAACATTTGAGTAAAGCAACAAGTTCACTTTCCTGTTTATGGATACTCGTATGATACAAATTAGGCTTCTTGGTGTTTCTGTAAATTGCATGTGATGAAAATGAATGCTTGTCTTGTTCCCTAGGCCATCACACTGTCTATGTTGGGGTCCATGTGCCTAAGAGCTATAGGAGAAGGAGACGCCACAGAAGAAGAGCTGGGCTAAAAGAGAAGAAGGAAAAAGAGAAAATCTCTGAGAACTACTCCGACAAATCAGATGTAGAAAATGCAGATGAGACGAGCAGCGGCATCCTTAAACCACTCAGTGAGTACTGCCACTTTGACGTTCCTTTTGCTGTTCTGTTGGTGGGCACTGCGCTTTTCCTGAGCAGCTACAGGGAAACTGGATCCCTGAAAAAAGAGGTTTTTTGACAGGGAATTGTTTGGAAGTGGCACCGCCCGTGCACCCGGTGTGAATGCTTCATCTTTGTTCAGTGTCAGGTGCCATTGCCGGGTTAGCCATTGTCAGTGCCAAGGTGCCAAAGCGAAGCCATGGTAGTGTGTGAGGACATAGCAAACAATTTGAAATCTAATTATCCATCCTGGCTAATCGATTGCCACCTCTTCTCCTGTACAGAGGACAAGGGTAGCCCCATGCCCAGGGGTTCAGCTAGAAATAGGGCTAGCGTTCAGAGAGTGGAAATTCATATACCACAGTCTGATTTTTCATTTACAGTAACATACCAGATTTTAGAAAGGGCTGCCTAAGTATAGAAGAGAATCAGGTTGTGTACAGGCTTGCTTAATGCTTGTATGAAATGAAATATCATGCCATGTTTCAAACATCAGAAGAGGAAAGAAGTGCCTTCTGCACCAAGGTGAAAATGAAGCTATAAATCCACGGTGCAATTTGACGCAGTTGAACATAATTGTCTATCTGCCTTAAAGAGGTCCAAGAATAGAATAGCAGGGGCTGATGCAGTTCACAGGATTAAACTGTGTTGGGACGGCAGTATGGCTGGCACTTGCATAACACTGATTTGGATTGAGGCTGACTCTAATCAACTGCTGTCAGTCCTTGACAGTAATAAAACTAAAAATGCATTGCATTCATGCAGATAGGAAGAAGTTGAGTGACTTGAGACCCAGTGAATGTAGTGTAGCAAATACTTGGTTTGAGATTTCTCAATGATGCATCTGTAGTCTCTGTGTATGTATGACAATAAAATAACTTTTTCGAAGCATTGTGGTCAATGCTCATGTATAGTTTGCACTGGGTAATGTTTGAGATGTGGTGCACTGGAGACTGAAGGATAAATTGAGTCATGTGTTGTGAAAATATTTGTTTTCATTGGAAGCACTTTAAAAAAATCACATTTTAATATTAATCCCCCCCTCCAAAATTCTTTCTTTTATTACAAGTAGATGAGGTTATTTAAAAAACAACCCTCCCTTTGCTGCTTGTATTTCTCTAGTTTAGCCAATAAAATGGAATTGTCAATGTAAATTACATGTGTAGTTGGAATCATAGAACACTAGAACTGGAAAGGACCTTGAGAGGTCATCGAGTCCAGTCCCCTGCCCTCATGGCAGGACCCAGTACCGTCTAGATCATCCCTGATAGACATTTATCTAACCTACTCTTAAATATCACCAGAGATGGGGATTCCACAACCTCCCTAGGCAACTTATTCCAGTGTTTAACCACCCTGACCGTTAGGAAGTTTTTCCTAATGTCCAACCTAAACCTCCCTTGCTGCAGTTTAAGCCCATTACTACTTGTCCTATCCTCAGAGGCCAAGGAGAACACTTTTTCTCCCTCCTCATGACACCCTTTTAGATACCTAAAAACTGCTATCATGTCCCCTCTGTCTTTTCCTTTCCAAACTAAATAAGCCCATTTCTTTCAGTCTTCCTTCATAGGTCACGTTCTCTAGACCTTTAATCATTCTTGTGGCTCTTCTCTGGACCTTCTCCAATTTCTCCACATCTTTCTTGAAATGTGGTGACCAGAACTGGACACAATACTCTAAATGAGGCCTAGTCAGTGCAGAGTAGAGCGAAAGAATGACTTCTCGTGTCTTGCTTACAACACTCCTGTTAATGCAACCCAGAATCATGTTTGCTTTTTTTGCAGCAGTGCCACACTGTTGACTCCTATTTATCTTGTGGTCCACTATGACCCCTAGATCCCTTTCTGCAGTAATTCTTCCTAGATAGTCGCTCCCATTCTATGTGTGAGACTGATTGTTTCTTCCTAAGTGGAGTACTTTGCATTTGTCCTTATTAAACTTTATCCTATTTACCTTAGACCTTTTCTCCCGTTTGTCCAGATGATTTTGAATTATGACTCTGTCCTCCAAAGCAGTTGCAACCCCTCCCAGCTTTGTATCATCTGCAAAATTAATAATCGTACTTTCTATGCCATCATCTAAATCGTTGATGAAGTTATTGAACAGAACCGGAACCAAAACAGGCCCCTGTGAAACCCAACTTATTATGCTCTTCCAGCATGACTGTGAACCATTAATAACTACTCTCTGAGAACGCTTATCCATTTTCAGAGAAATCTGATGCACTTGAAAGTGAGACTTAGAAGTAGTCATTATACAGCAGCATTACCAACACTTCCACTGCTTACTGAAATGTCAGAAGACATTTAGCAGTAAATTTTAGCTAAATAACAACCCAGAACACAGAGTCAGGACTGGTGGCTTTAAACAAACTTTATGGGACCAGAGGAAACTTGGCCACATCCATGATAAATAGACATCTGTCTAAGTAAAAATCATGCCAGAACATAGCTGTTGCCAGAGCAGAGAATGCCAGACTAGAGAGGCTCAACCTGTAGTGTTTTTGTAATACAGGCTAAATCTCCATTAGCAACAGCTGGGTCTATGCTAAACCTGGCAGCTCGACTTAAGATACATAACTCCAGCTACGCAGAATACTTAGCTAGAGTCAGTTTACCTTAAGATGAGCTTGGTGGTGTCCTCACAGTGGGAGGTCAATGGGAACAAATGCTCCCATTGGCTTCCCTTACTTCTCGCAAAAGCAGGTGTACGCTTGGGGGAGTACCCTCTGAATCTGATTTAACTATTCTTGCTGTATTGAACTCCAGAAGACCGATTGCAGCAGTGGCAATCTTCCATTTAGTGTAGACAAGGCCTAAAATGAGATTAATCAATTCACTTTCTCTTCCGGTGTAATCCACCACAATCAGTATTCTCTGTAAGATGAGCGCTTGAGCAACCACCCAGGAGAGATTCAAATGCTGCCCAGCTGATTAGTAGAGTGCCCACAGCTGGCAGCATGTGCTTCTATTGGTGGTGCACATTTACACATGCTTTAGTACACATAACAAAATTCATTCTGCATGTAGATGGAAAAAGTTAGGGGGAACATTGATCACAATGCTAGTTATTTTTCAGCACTATCTTCGATATATTGTTATGAGGCTTTATTTGCAATTTTATAGATTCTTTAAGTAAAGTACAAGTCCACACAGCTTGCTTTCTAACCAAGGCAACTACACCAAAGTATTTTGATTTTTCTTTAGTGGATTTGGCTTTTGGTATTTTGTACCAAGGCAGTACCAAGCTACAAAGCAAAATGTAAGCTGGCCACAAAAAGAATGTTTGACATTGAGCCTTTATTGTACATCAGTTTTCCCTGTAAGCTGAGTGCATGGGCAACTGCCAAGGAGAGAGTCAAGTACTGGTCAGCTGATTAGCAGAGTGCCCACAGCATGCGATTCTATTGGTGGTTCACATCTGCACTTTCCTTGGTGTGCATAACAAAATGAATTCTGCCCATGGATGGAAAAAATTAGAGGACATACCTGAAATCTTCTGATCCTAACACTTCTGTATAGTACATCACTTTACACTTATGTGAGGAGACCTATAGTCCAAGAACTTATTGGATATTCTGTGCACCACTGTATTAGTTTCCTAACATATGTCTGGATAGTTGAAGTCCCTATCACCACCAAATCCTGCGCTTTGGTTGATTTTGTTAGTTGTTTAAAAAATAGTTAGTTTGTAGTCTGTTTTGTGTTCCAGGCACAAGCACAACACTTCAAAGTTTGAGTCACTATTTATTAAAACAATTTCCAAGAATGCATGGAAATATTTGATAGGATCATATGTCTGGAAGCAACCTTGAGGTATCATCTAATCCAGTCTCCTGTAGACCTGATAGTGTCTGTCTGATAATTTTCTGAACTGTCCCTGATGGACAGGTGGCAAATTCAGTCTTAAATACTCTTAAATATCCCCACTAAAGGTAATTCCAGTAACCTCCCTTGGTAAATGTTCTGAAATCTTGCCAGTTGGAGTTTGTTGAAATCTACATTGCATATCCAGGATGGGTTGATGTCTCATGCTGATAAGCCTGGAACAATATGTTGGTGCCTCTTCTACAGGCACCTTGTTAATTTAGATCTGATAGCGTGGCATAGCTGGATTTGGGAACTGCATCTAGTAATCTTTTTGTCTGTCTTGAGTTTCTGCAAGTAACTTAAAAATGAGTGCAAGACAAAAATGGTTACAGTCTTCTGTACTTCTGTGCTTCCAGACACAGGAGGACAGAAGGTTGGTCTTTATTAGAAGATATTTAATGCTGATGAAAGGTACCAACCTGACAGCGCTGGAGACTGGCCCTCTTTCCACAGAACTGATACAAAATGGGCCTGATTAGTTTTCCCCCACACAATCCCCTGATTGTGCCCTGGCACTGCAGGGACAACTTTTTACAGATGGGAAGGCAAATCAGTCTGTGCCATTTATTGCATCCTTTGCCTACCTGCCTGCTGAGAATGTCTGCGTGCTAATTGTGATGTGGCTTCCTATCCACCCTAAACTAGCCCCAGAACACCTTGTTTAAAAAAAACCCAAACCTATCTACTGGCTTGAACTTGGTTTTTAAACATATGGTCTCAGAGTGAGTGTTGATACATCTTAACATAAGAACGTAAGCTGTGTCTTTTTGAGCCATCCAGTCTGTGATGTACACATCCTAACCTTTTTGGGGGGAAATGTAAGGCTGTGTACAGTTGTGTTAGACAGGCTTTCAACTTCCCCCTTCCCTCAAACATGCCGGTGATAATAAAAATGAAGAAATAGCTTTACACTAAAACAATTGGGGAAAATAAATTGAGAATTTTGAATTCAAGTGCTATTGAAGCACATAGTCACCAAAGGGAGAAGGGTAGAGTTGAGACCACAAGGGGAACTGCAGAGCTAGAGGGTGGGAAGGTAAGTCATTTTAGGCTCATCTAGATCCAGATAGGATCCTAATTGGGTGGTGGGAGAGAAACTGATG